ATCTACCACTGTTGATGTAGGGGTATTGTTCTCGTTCTAAACTCTCATTTCCGATCTTCCATTGTGCCTCGTATTACTTCGTCGCAGGTTTGCCTCCGCCCCCTCTTTTTTCTTATTTGCGTTATTGCTTGGCTGACTCGTTCACCTGTCTCGTATTCCGCATTCTGCGCAAATGTCGCTACCAACTTACTTCTCACTTTCAGGTATAATAACACTATCAGGCCTTGAATTACAAATACTATATATTATACAAGATGAATAAAAGTAGATACTTCGTGACGTCTTAACGATTTGTCGTCACTCTACAATATTCCAATACGTATTTAAAAAAATATTTCTACCTTATGTATCTAAAATCAATATTTGCGAATGATTTACACGCTTTATGATCAGTTACTACATACTGATTGAAAAACCACCATGAAAACTGATGAGTCAGGCCTTAGAAGCCTTAATGACATTAATATTATTTTTGCATCTCCGGTCTTTTTGTGTTTTGTTACATTTTTTTATAAATTTGTTGAAATTACTCATATTATTTGACCACCTTTCTATTTTCGTTTTTTTTCTGTGTCGGAAATAGGTATAACTCCACAGCTAAAAACTATTAATTCCGGCCAAATCACTCAAGTCCAGTAATTTTCCAGTAGCTTTTATAACAGCAAACCCCTCGATTTTTACAGTCTCCTAAAAACAATTCTAACTCAATCATGATATTGTATGGGTATAAATGAAAGTCAATAATTGACAGAAATTATTTTAATTTAGAACGAAATTAATTAATTACTGAGTTAAATCTGCCCAGGATCTAAAATAATACAAAAACCATAAATTTCGCAAGATATTGTCTTGTCGCATTTTTAATTAAATTAACATCATGGTGTAGATAAGATTTGTAACATTCTATGACTTTCGGCAACGATTTATGCATTTCCATTTTCACCTTTCTTTTTATTGATCTAAATAAAGTGCATCACTTTTATGTTAGTACTAATTAATATAATCTTATATGTGACCCAATGAAAAATAAATTACACAACTGAACAGATATTTCTGAAAATTCTTCGATCGACAATGTTCGTTCTGTATTACGCATACCGAGTATTACGCGGTTGCTTTAAATGTCCTTGATCGGTGCTAAAAGAAGTTTTTCGTATATCTTCAGAGTCCATTTATATTTGATACCTGAGGCGACAGCAAAAATTAAAAAAAAACTCACTCTTCCTATTTATTAAGTGTATATCTTATTAAGAATTAGATATTTGAATTGGAATAAATTATAGAGGTGATAAAAATTCGGTGAATTGCAGTTCATGTTTAAACGATATTAAACGTAAACATTAGATTTTGACCTTCTATGTGAAATAAACGTTTATAATTAAAAAATAAGGCCTGAAGGGGGCTTTGTTCTTGAAGTTTATAATGGTAAGAGGTTAAAAATCGAGTTTCGTTACCTTTAGTTAATACTAAAGATTCAGAGACAATGTTTGGTAATTTATAATTACTATACGTGTAGAAAGACTTATTGTTACGGTTCTAAATTGCCCAATATAACAATCGAATTAAGACCTAATTAACCGACAAAAATCATAAAAAAATTTCGCGGTCATTTCAGTATCGTTTAGTCAAGTGATAACTGTTTATTACTAAAAAGATTTACTTTCTAAAATTTATACTGCTTTTACTATCATAACTATCCTATATACAGTGTGTCCCAGGATAGATGTTACAAGAGGTATAATGACTTAAAAAATTTTGAATTTTATTTTAAGGCAGAGGAATAAGCCCTGCTTGGTGTGGAGACAATTTTAAGTATATTTTCATATTTTCAAAATCAACTTGGCCTTGATAGTGAAGCGAAAACTATTTTTAGTTCAGGTAAAGTAAGCTTTTTGTTTCTGATACGGAAAAATATCATTAAGAAAAGTTGTTCAGAATGAGAAATTGTGGCACTATGCAAAATTTCAGAGAAATCTACCTACATTGATTAAACCACTATATTTTAAATAAGATTTTTTTTTGCTGATAGAAAGTCAGGCAATTTACGTCCAACACGATAGATGCTCTGCACATTCTACAGTACGTGTAGCTGAATGGTTAAATTTAATATTTCGAGAAAAGATTATATCTAGAAATGGTCCAATTGCGTGGCCTCGAAGGTCTCCTGACCTTACAATATTAGATTTCTTTCATGGGGTCCCCTTAAACAACTAGTTTTCGCTCAACCAATACCGAACAATCGAAAAATATTAAAAGAAAGGATAACAAATGCTATACGACAAATACACATGGAAAAAATCATAATGCATATCAACATAATTTCACATTTTGAACAACTTTTCTTAATAAAATTTTTCAATATCATGAACAAAAAGGTTACTTTACCTGAACTAAAAATAGTTTTCTCTTCACTATCAAGGCCGAGTTGATTTTCAAAATATGAAAATATACTTAAAATTCTCTCCGCACCAAGCAGGTCTTAATTCCTCAGCCTTAAGATAAAATTCAAAAATTTTTAAATCATTATATCTCTTGTAATATCTATCCTAGGACACACTGTATGTAGTTTTAGAAATATCATTAAAAAATGCATTTAATATCGGACACGATGACAACAACCAATAATAAATGTATAGTTTAAGTGGTCTGTAGATATCATTACAATCCTTCTCGAATATCGGTACTTAGAAATGAATTACCTGCAAACGTTGTTAAATATATGTTAACGTCTACAAAGCTCCTGCTGGACTTATCTTTATTTAATAATAATTGCGTTAAACCCGTAAACTCCATCCATCTTTATTTAACTTCGTTATTTATTGAACGGTTTGGAAACTAGACCAAGTGGAATAGGTTACCCAGAAGCATCAGAGTTTACTAACATCATGTCATAAATAATTCGCAGTGGAGGCAAGAAGGTCGGATTCATGGTTAAGATACCATTTAAACACGTTGAACTGTGAACAAAAAAAATATGAGGAGTTTATGAAAAATTATTTGAAAAAGGTGTATATTTCTTTGATGTCAACAAAGTAACGACTGCAATGTTTTATCTCCTGATTCCTTAAAAACTTGCTGTCTTAACGATATTCTCTTTGCGGGATCTAAATTTGTAAATGATTAGTTTTCGATATTTTTCGTCTTCTTCTCAGATGAATCAGCTGTATCGCCCATTTCTTTAAATCAGGATCATTTAGAAATTCACGATTTAGTACGTCGATAAGCCGATTTGATTTATTTTCCTATTAAAGTATTATGCTGTCAAAATCCAAAACGTAATCTAATCTATAATCAAAATGGTAAGAGGTTATTAAATAAATCCAATCCAATCGAGTTTCGTTACCTTTAGTTAACACTAAAGATTCAGAGACAATGTTTGGTAATTTATAATTACTATACGAGTAGAAAGACTTATTGTTACGGTTCTAAATTGCCCAGTCTAACAATCGAATTAAGACCTAATTTACCGACAAAAATCATAAAAGAAATTCACTACCATTTCAGTTTCGTTTAGTCAAGTGATAACTGTTCATTACTAAAAATATTTACTTTCAAAAATGAATCAAATATATGTACTTTTAGAAATATCATTAAGAAATGCATTTAATATCGTACACGATGACAACAACCAATAATAAACGTATAGTTTAAGTGCTTCGTTATTATTATGTATTGATAATGAACTAACCCCAAATGTGTTCAATCCATTCAGCGGTACATATATCGTATAATTGAACATTCCATTAACCCAATTTCCATGCCACTGCCCAACGAAGTATTTTATAGTGGTTACGGTAAATTGATTGAAGCCAATACCAGAACGCTCTTCACCTAATTCATGAAAACTATAACGTCGATAAACTGCTCCCTTTATATCATCATTTAATATCGAAAGCGTTAAAATGTTGTGTGTAATGTGGTAATGTGATGTATAAAATAAATATCTTATAAATAAGTATTTCGACTCTAACGGTCCAGTTCCAATTTATCCAGTCGTATTTCCACCCCTTTGCTGCACTAACAGACTTCCCTGATCGGATTCCCATGAAAAGGCCTTCGAAACGAATCTCTTTGATGCGACGTGACATCAATTTCCCTCTTGGGCGGCGTACGATGATATTCAAATTGGAGTAGAGAAAAACGAGGTGAACTATAAAATGTCCAATGCGGCGATCCCATTTTTACGACAATAGGATCGATCTCAGGGTGCTATTTAATTTGCGACGTTTGCTTTTATCTCTGTTGTAATGGTGGTGAGCACGTTGGAAATTGTTCCATTCGCGAATGTACATTCCGTTCCCATTAGTTCTAAGTGCTTGCTTTCGAATATAGTGGCTGTGTACGGGACCTAATAAACGCATAAGTGCTTCTCGTGGAAGAATACAATAGCACCGTCGGAACCGTCAACTTGGCTTATGTAGAATGAGCGTTGTAAACGCCATTGTCACTCGTAAAATTTGCTACATCGGTGTGTCTACATAAACATCAGGTGCAGAAATATCACCGTCAAGCCCCAGATGTACATTGATATTTCAACTTAATGCGGCCTGTCGAGATGTCTAAGAGGAAACGTTGAAATTTGACAAGGTATTGAAGTTTCATTGCTTACGAAACCAGAGCAACGACGTCGTTCGTTATTACTATTCAAATGTTAGATAAAACAAGAAAATTTACTAATTGTTTATGTAACGCTTTTTTTATTTGTAATTTAAAACAGGTTTACTTATTAACTTTAATTATTAAATACTAGTAATTTTTATAGAAGTCGTCTCTCAATAAAAACGTAAAACAGAGGTCAGCTTGACATTTTCAAAATCACAAAACACGTCGTGGTCGAAGAGTTCACCTTGTATCCGTTTCCCTCGCGATAGTCGTACGAAGAAATTGGGCGTCGTCCGAAATGTTAATAACTGGTCGAATTAAAGCAATGTGAAGGTCGTCCCGATCTTGTTCCGGTTCCAAATCACTATAAAATCTCCGATCGGTTGCACTAATAGCATCAGTTCGTGTAGACAGATCTAGCAACACAGACCTTCCTTCAAAATGTTCAAGTTGGTGGTGTTGTCCGCTCTTTTGGCTTTTGCCTCTGCCAGCCATATTCACGGTTCAGTAGCTTACGCTGCTGCTCCAGTTGCTTATGCTGCCCCGGTTGCCGTTCCGTCAGCTGTTAGTTACCAAGCAAGAACCGATGTTGTCAATAAACCAATCGTCGCTACAACTTATGCTGCTGCTCCAGTTGTTGCTGCCTACAGTGCGCCTGTCGTCAAAACTGTTGCACCCGCTTATGCTGTACCATCCGCTGTTAGTTACCAATCTAGGACTGACGTTATCAACAAACCAGTTGTATCTACCACAACTTACGCAGCCGCTGCTCCAATTGTCGAAGCTCCAGTTGTTAAAACCGTCGCACCAGTAGTCAAAACTATTGCTCCAGCTGTTGCTGTTCCATCCGCAGTAAGCTATCAAACCAGAACAGGTGTAATTAACAAACCAGTAGTTTCCACAACTACTTACACTGCTGCTGCTCCTGTTGTTGCTGCTGCCCCTGTCGTCAAAACTGTAGCCCCCGTAGCTGAAGTTGTAGCACCAGCTGTAGCTGTTCCATCTGCCGTTAGCTATCAATCCAGAACTGACATCGTCAACAAACCAGTAGTTTCTACAACTACTTATGCTGCTGCTACCCCAGTAGTAGCCGCTCCAGTTCTTAAAACGGCTGTTCCTGTGGTTTCGACTTACGCTGCTCCAGCTGTTGTTTCCAGTTATGCTGCCCCAGCTGTTTACTCTAGCTACGCCGCTCCAGCAAACATTGTGACCGGTTATCATGCAGCCCCAGCAGTTGCTTATGCCGCTGAACATGCTTGGTAAACTTATAGATCTGTAGTGCAAAACTGATATCCAAATTATGCATTCATTTGTAAATAAATTCGCAGTTTTATCCGTACTATGTTTTTTATTTATTTTTTCCCAAAGTAAACATAGCATAGCAAAAATTTAGACATTTAAATGTCTGTAGATATTATTACAATCGTTCTCGAATATTGGTACATAGAAATGAATTACCTGCAAACGTTGCTAAATACAGGGTGATTCTCAACCTATACGCATAAACTTGGGCATTTATTCGTCACGTCAAATAATGGCTAATAGGTGAAAAAAAATGTAGTAAAAGATTTTTGATTTCCCAGATATCCGATATATGCGGCGACATCTTGATAAGGTGCTTCCCGGGAGATAGACAGGTCGAAGTAGTCTATTGGCCTGGCCATTTCGATCGCCCGACTTCAATCCTCTTGTTTTTTGTTTTGCGATCACTTAAAAAGCATAGTGTACGTCACCGAAGTTAATACTGAGCAAAGATTGCGAAATCAGATACAAACTGCTGCCGAGACAATCCGCCAACACCCTGGTTTAGGCCGCGCTATCATATCATCTCCAAAGCGTCTTTCCTTCTAAAAATCATCTTACACAGCAACACCAAACTACTCTCATGAACTCTCATGTGTTTAGAACGGATACCCCCATACTTATTTCATCTTCTGCAAAAAAATGTTTACATACATTTGAGTTGGTTGTTTGCTCATGTCCTCCTGATTGCAAGAAATGCCTACACAAATGATGCATGGCGAAATTTAATAACGAGAGGAAGAATGACATGTACGGATCACACAATGTTGAGGAAAATGTTGAGAGCATCAAAAAGAATGAGATAAAACTTCGGTGAAAAAACGTCAGGCAGCCTTCTTCTGTTTCGTTGATCTAACCAAAACGTTCGACAAAGTAAGGATAAAAGAATTAGAACAGGGCAAACATTACAAAGTACAAAATCAAGATTGAGTGCTATGCAGATGATGTCGTCCTCTTGGCTGATACTGAGGATGGCATACAGTGGTTAACACAAGCATTTAACATTACAGCTGAGGAAGTGAATATTGAGGAAGTTAATACTGAGCAAGAATTATAAAATCAGATACTGGTATAGGCCGCGCTAGTGGGACATCGTGGACTCAGCGAACACAATTGTGTATACAAAATATTGGAAACAACTTGTAACACTTGCTTTTGATGTCATTTTAAAATCTTATACGTATTCTTGATTTGAAAGTAAATTTCAGGGATATCTAGGAAACTAAAAACCTTTGCTACAATTTTTTTCACTTATTACTCATTATTTGTCATGAGGAATAAATCCCCAAGTTTATGCGTATAAGTTGAGAATCACCTTGTATATGTTAACGTCTACAAAGCTCCTGCTTCACTTATCTTTGTTTAATAATAATTGCGTTAAACCCGTAAACTCCATCCAATTTTATTTAACTTCGTTATTTATTGAATGGTTTTGGAAACTAGACCAAGTGGAATAGGTTACCCAAAAGCATCAGAGGTTACTAACATCATGTCATAAATAATTCGCAGTGGAGGCAAGAGGGTCGATTCATGGTTAAGATACCATTTAAACACGTTGAACTGTGAACAAAAAAATATGAGGTGTTTATGAAAAATTATTTGAAAAAGGTGTATATTTCTTTGATTTCAACAAAGTAACGACTGCAATGTTTATCTCTTGATTCCTTAAAAACTTGCTGTCTTAACGATATTCTCTTTGCGGGATCTAAACTTGTAAATGATTATTCATGGTGTGGATCTTTGTTATCAATATATATATGAAATAATTAAACGTATTTATGCTTTTATTGATATTTTAATATAATATTTTAATATATATATTATTAAATCGGGAGTGAATTCGAGAGTTCGCTGCCGAGAAGAAGAAAAACAATACAATAAATAATCCAGCCCATTCGTAATTAATAACTAAAAATAACCTCTGAAAGAAACATTTAAGAAGGAAAATAATGTTTTATAAATGTACTACATAACATAGCAAAACAGGACGAAAGCCTCCGAAGATGGCGTAGATCGCCGAAAAGCCTCAGGCATAGTGTACGATTAAAATATCAATAAAAGCATAAATACGTTTAATTATTTGTACATCAGGATCATGTAGAAATTCACGATTTCCTATTAAAGTATTTGCTGCCAAAATCCAAAACCTAATCTAATCTGTAATCAAAATAATAACAAAAATAATACAAAAAGCTGCCTTTTTATTTTCTGTGGAAATTATAAACCTTTGTCTTGCTTTTATAATCTTCTTCGAATATCATAACAGTATAAGAGACATGGCACCTATTGAAAATAATCAACTTAAATTATCTGTGAAAAAGAAAGAATACGCCGTGAACACATTCTCGTCGTTCGTATGTGTTATTATTACTGTATACGATTTCTCTAGATAGGAATCGTTAAATTAAAGGTTCGGCACTCTTCCATCGGCAATCACTACAAGCTGTCCGCAAGAGGAAGTGTTGTCATCAAATTTGTGAAATTTCACCCTGGGTTATCTTGTAAAGTTATGATCTAAATCTAACTTGTTTCAAAATTGTGAGCTACACACCAATTTCCTAAGAAATATGTAGCAGTGTTGAAAAGCATAACAAGTGATGCGCACGTATTTCAATTTTTTTTTGTATTGAAAGGATTCTGAAATCTGCCCAGCTGAAAATAAGCCTTTATTATGACAACGAACCTTTAAAAATCATATAAAGTCTTTCTCTAGTTAGTGATTTCTTTTAAATTAAGTATTATATAGATTTTATACAAATTTAGTGTCTGGGTTTACCTTTCCTCTAGAACACATTTAATTGCTTTATGAGAACGTTAGGGTGCACATACACTCGTTCACTAAGCTGAACTGATGGATTACTTCTTTTACGATTTGTAGTGAGATATCACTTGGAATGATCTCATTGGAGACGTGGAAAATCGCATCTATGATGGGTCGCAGAACTTTGTTTTGGAAACGCTGGAGGATTTCTATGTTGGAAGCACTAACAGTACCCCGTAGCTGAACACCGCACGCTACACTGGTTTCAGAATGGCTTTATATAGGAATACATATTTTCTTATTAAAAGGCAGCCTGGAATCAGGACCAATGATTCAGTAGATTTTATTTAGCTTTATATCTAATTGCTTGCATTTGGAGAAAATATATTTATTCCATGTGAGGCGTCTATCTAGGAGCATACCTGGGTATTTGGCATAGTCTGCTTAAGGTAGTTACGTTTGGTGTTGCTCAAGGAGGGCAAATTTCTGTACGTATAGTAAAGGTGACATCTTTATATTTAAGAGTCAATGCAACTCTGATTCGCCAGGTTTTCATTTACTCTGCGAAGTAGTATGTGTCAATCAGCATCTGTAACATTACTGGACTGAGAACATTACTGTTCAGAACATTACCCTGAGGCACTCCTAATAGTTTGGTGTAGTGCCTGACAGTCAGGTATGGTTTCAGCAATATATAGTGTGGCTGAGATAGAAGCGTCTTTAGTTTGTCTTGCCATACCTTATTGAGATATATCGAAAAATCCTGCAGAATAATATCTCTTAGCATATAGATCTTTATTAATTTGATATCAATTTCATTTTCTCTTGATAAGATTCTTTGATGATATATATATATGTATATATATATCATCAAGTTTTTAGGGACCTTGGAACGTATAGGTAGCAAACTTTTGAGTCTAAACGAGGTGATTTCTTCTTATTTTCTTTCTGGTTTATGAATCATAATGATTCCAAATACTTCCCAGATGGTAGAAAAGTGGTTTATTCTTAGAATCGCATTAAGAATTGAAAGCCTTTTTTATATTATTTTTTTTTTTACTTTTCATTATGACCTGTTTAATTTCATTAGTTGTAAACTTGTAGTAAGGCATTTCCATAGGAAATGTCACTTAGCAATTTAATCCTCCGTAGATAGCTCGAGATGGAAAAAGGTTAAATAAAGTCTCTAGATGTTTTGAGATGGCCCTGCTTTTTCTTTGCCATCTTTTTTTCTCATCTTTAATTCGGGATGTGTCGTAGCGATCTTTTTACTCATCTAGTGGCTTTCCAAAGCGAATAATCTGTAACGTTTGTTGGTGTAAGATTTTCTAGATATTTTTTTAATTCTTTGGTTCTGTTCTTCCTATATTAGGCTTTTCAATTCTCGTTGCTTGATTTAGTTTAGATAGATTGTTGTCGTCTCTTCAGCCATTATCTTTTTCGGCAATTTTTTCTTTGACTGATGGAAATATTATATCAATCCCTAGTGGTGTTTCGTAGTCCGGGGTTGCATGCTAGGTTGCCTCTAGTATATCCTTCATCAGGTTAACCACCGATTTTCTATATGCAATTCTAATTGGAATACGTGTTGTTTATTATCATGGAGAGGTCTAAAAACAGGTCAAAGCAAGTTTCAGCTTTACATTTCTTCATATCGATTCCTTTAATAATGTAGAAGTCAATAACATTAACATTAGGAATTTTTTCTAATAGATGGCCAACACTCTGGATCGCCAGTAGATATTTGCTTTTTCTTTCATTGCTTTGATTAATTCTTTTTCTTTTGGTATTATTAATCTTGAACACCATATTGGATATTTTTGTTGCCCAATGCATTGAAAAATACTACATAGTTTCGTTTCAGTTTAGTTTAGTTGTTGTGTTTCGGTAGACAGTATATTTCTGGCATTATTATTGATGGAGGTATTTGCCGCTCTGGATACCTGTGTTATATTTGGAATGTATTGCGATTCTTCTAGTTTCCTAGTGACAGTGGTGAGTTGGTATAATGTTGTCCTTATTTGCTCCATGAGTTTGATGACAGTTACCAAATTGTTTGGTATCGTTAGATTATCGAGTGCTTAAGTATATGATACTCCTGGTTGAATTTGTCGTATATTATCGTGTATGTCGTAAATTAATTTTATTAAAAAACTCATATATCGCTTTTTTTTTGTAGTTGTATTCACATGTTAGAACAATCTTTAGCTCCCTTAAATTACGATCAACTATCACTGTTTGTTCTTCTTCTTATCAACTTTAATTAGCTTCATTTC